AAAAAAAAGAACCTGGGTGCAGAGTCAGGTGGGGATGGGAAGCATGGAATCAGTAAACCATGAAATGAAACAAGAATCAAAACAGGATTTAGAAAGCATTTGTAATCTATTTCTTAAATGTGAAAGAAAGACACTGTATCTATTTCAGAAGAGCTCATTACAGCAGGAAGGGACAGGGAAGGAGTAAACAATGGGAGTACAGGTAAAATGTCGAACTGAATGCTACAGGTAATTAACAGAGAAAGAGAAAATGAACTAAAAAAAATCTGCAAAGCATGAAAAAAGATATGAAATCTGCAAAAGAAGATTTGGAGAAAGAAGTGCTCTGGGAGAGAGAGGAATTCCTAAAGAAAGAGAAGGAAGGAACTGAACACACTCTTGCATGAAATAGATGCATTGAATAAATTTATGGAATAAATGAGCAAACAAACAATAAAACATCAAAGATTAGAAAAAGATCCACTAGAAGAAAAATGTGACAATTAATAAAATAGTTGAAGGTACAAATACAACCCTATTTAAGATCCATTAAAAATAACTGAGATCAACATGCATCCTCAAATATTTTAATTACATGAAATATGTAACCTGCAAGGTGCTAGGTTACATATTTCATGTAAAAAATACAGTCATAAGTAGACAAGGACTTCTTTATAGTGAAAAACCATGTACATACCACAGTGTAAAAAAGCTGTATAATTTCTCTCTTTATAGTAAAGTTTTTATCCAAATGCAAAGATGTTCATGGATTTTCAGTCTTAAGAAATTTGATCGATCTGGATCCAAGATGGCCGTTTAGGAACAGCTCAGGATTGCAGCTCCCAGTGAAAGCGCAGAGGGTGAGTGGACGCCGCGTTTTTATTGCCCACAGACTAGGAAATTCCCGGGCAGAGGTGCTCCACGGTCGCCAGCGCGGCTGTTTCGGCCAGCGCCGCTGCTTTGCCCCGCGCGGCTGCTTTGTCGGCGCCCCGGAGCCGCGGTTCTCTGTACAAAATACACTGGTCTGGGGGCCCTTTTGGCTGGCGATTGGAGCCACGGGAAGTCGCCCGTACGCCGGCTCAAAAAGGGGACTGAGCAGAGAACCAGGACAGTAGATTCCAGGGGGAAAAAAACAAAAAATAGCGCCACAAACCTCAGTGCCACTGTTTAAGCCAGCGCAGTGAGTGGCCGCAGGGGAAAACAAACAGACCCCGGCGCCTCTTCAACAGGCGACTGGAACACCAACTTAAAAAAGGCTCTGAGGCAGGGAGCCAGGCGATCAGGCTCGGCTGGCCCCACCCCCACAAAAGAAAAGCAACCAGAAACTCTGGATTGTGAGTTTCACAGCAAGCGCAGCTGAAACCAGGACGGTCCAGCTCTGTGGGGGAGGGGCATCCGCCATTACTGAGGCAGCCCGCCGTTGCCAAGGCAACCCGCCATAGCAGAGACTCCGCCCCAACAGAGGCGGGCCACCATCGCCAAAGCAGTTCTAACTACACCCATATAAACAGGACTGCAGGGAATTTCACTCTTCAGCGGGGCGGAGCCCACAGCAGCTCAGCAAAGCTGCTATAGGCCCACAGTGACTAGGCTGCCTCCTTGCTGGGCTGGGCAGGTCTGAAGGAGAAAAAAAAAAAAAGAAGGCGGCAGCATAACAGAAACTCATAAATAAAGCCCTAAATCCCTGGGACAGAGCACCTGGGAACAAAAAGCAGTGTATGAGTACTGCTACAGCAGACCCAAAAGTACCTGCCCAGCAGCTCTGAATGAACAACAACAGAGCTCGCAGCTCACCGTTTGAGCTCCTATAAAGAAAAGACCGTCTCCTCAAGCAGCTCCCTGACCCCTATATATCCAAAAAGACACCTCATAAAAGAGAGATCAGATTGACACTAGGCGGGTATCCTTCTGGGACAAAGATAGCAGAAGAAGAAAACTGGTAACAACCCTTGCTGTTCAGCAGCTGCTGCAGGTGAACCCCAGGCAAGCAGGGCCTGGAGTGAACCTCAGCAGACTTACAGCAGAGGGGCCAGACTGTCAGAAGGAAAACCAAGAAACAGAAATAACCTCATCATCAACAAACAGAACGTCAATCTGAAAGATTTGAGACCCAATCTGAAAGCCAACAACCACAAAGTCGACAGGTGGATAAATCCTTAAAGATGGGAAGAAACCAGCAAAAAAAGGATGAAAACACCTGAAACCAGAACACCTCTCCTCATAAAAGGGATCACAACTCCTCACCAGCAAGGGAACAAAGTTGGAGGGAGAACGAGTGTGATGAAATGACAGAATCAGACTTCAGAAGGTGGGTAGTAAGAAACTTCTGTGAACTTAAAGAACGTGTTCTAACCAATGCAAAGAAACTAAGAACCTTGAAAAAAGATTTGACGAAATGCTAACAAGAATGGACAAAATAGAAAG